GACAAGTTTGCTTAGGTTGTAAGAAGTCCAAAGCTATGAGGTAATAAGCAAACACATAAGTTAGCAAGGGATAAGCCTCTGTTCCTTGAACGTACATATATATCCTCCAATTCGAGGTCTTACGCTCTCTCGATGCCATCATTTACTTCAGCATAGAATAGTATTTGTTAAAAAATTGAGTATAATTTTTAGACACCGCTAACTTTTTTTAACTTTTGGATCGATAACTTTTTTTTAGTATTATTTTCTTGATATCCAATAACCACATTGGATCTTCTAATTAATTCAAAATCGAGTTGTATTGAATCCCGTTTGAGGGAAGCTCTCTTAACTTCTATTTTTCTATTTACAAGATTCGAATTAAAGATTTTATTTTAAAAAAAAAAACCAAATTTTTTTCATTTGGATCAACAGATCATTAATTGAGATCAATAACTTCGGAAACATAATAATTAAACCTTAATAATAAGCATAATAGATGTCATCATAACATATATAACATTTTAAAATAATAATGTCCTTGTGTTCATATCTTACCTATATATCATTTAGATGCAAATAATTTCATTAAATTAATTGTGGCCGTGATCTCCGTGTCTACTAAGTTCATTTACAGCCAATTACTTAATTGGTGGAAAGTACAAATGAGAATAGAAAAATATAAATGCCTCCCAAAAGCTAGAGTTGTAATTGAGCTCTCATTTTGATTACCCGACCGCTACTGCAAATATTTACCCAGGTACTGGAACGCCTGTCACAAACCCCCTGGTCATGTCCTTTTCTTGTTTGTAATGTATATCCTGTACAACTAAAGAATTAATTAAAACAACATTGGCAATTCATTGTTTTTTATTTTAATTCTTTCAAAGAGAAAAAGATCTGACTCTTATGTCGATCAGATGATTCATATAAGGCCAACAGGTAGGTCCTAACTTCAAATACAAACACCATTAAATTAAAAGAGATGTATATTATTAGTCATGTAATTTGTTGATAGAATTATCTATATTTTTAATATAAATTTAAAATTTAATTTTTAATATGTACGTAATTAAAAAAAAAAAAAAAAGAAGAAGAAGATAGGGGATATAAGTACCATTTTGTCCTAAGCATTAAAATGAAGTGAACCCAGTAGATGATCAAGGTTGGTCTCTCTTTTTTTCCTTTTTGGGTGTACTAAAAGGGTTTGTTTCATACTCTAATTGCACAATCTCGAGAAAAAATTCATTAGGAATCATATATACAACCCTCAATAAATAAAATGTATATAGAAGTATATATTTGATTAATATTAATTATATTGAAGTTTCTCCTAACAGCATAAATTATTAACTGAAACGTTTCTAAACTTGAACATGGAATCTTTTGACAAAGCATGTCTATTGTCTGAAAGGAAATGTTAGTGTCAAGTGCAGTATGCACTCCAGTCATGATTGCTCTGAGTATTTTCATAAAAAGAAGAAGAAGAAGAAGAAGAAAAAGAGTGACTAATAAAGTCCCGAGTGATTTCGTCGAGTGCACATGGTAATAGTAATTCTCTTTGTCTGAGTCTTTGCCTTATCCCCTTTGTACAGTATAATTCATTTTGGTCTGGACCCAAATTAAGTGAAAAAAAAGGAAAAAAATCTCGTTGGAGACGTGGAGTGTTCTACAGTGTGAGCTTTTATTGAAGACAGCAAGACAGGTGGCATAAGATGAAAACATAAAATCAAATTCGATTGACTTTGCAGTTAACTTCCAAGATTCAATTCTCCAACCAAATTGGAGTATGACATATTGCAAATTTTGATTGGTTCTCCCTAAACTGTGAATAAATTGTTTTAATTTCAAGAATTGGACCAACTAGCTCCCAACTACCTACACCCCAGACAAAGTTCATCCCAACAATTAATTACCCATTCTCCAATTCTTTTTAGCCCCATGGACTAGTATCAATTTTCAACAAATCACATCATTAATTTCATTGTTATTTTATTTTACGGGATGAAAATGTTTTTTTAAGAATGTTTGTTAAAAAATTATAAATTAAAAATATATGATAATATGTCACAGTAATTGTCATTATTATTATTTTTTTAATCAACAAAATACATGAATTAAATTTATTTACATATACATATATATATGTATATATTTACTTATTTGATTAGATATAATGGTATCAACTAATATTATCTAAATTGTCCTTGAAAACGTACAATTAATAGATAGCCCGTCCTTGCATGGACAAAGAATTAAGTGGATGCCACCTTCTCTGCATTTGATATGACCATCATTTCTAGTGCTTTCCAAATGCGATTGATTGATTATGGTTCTTACCTAACTCCAAGATAGCGTTGTTTGAATTGGATCTATATTCTAGCATCAATAATAAGTTAGTTTGGTCCTCAACCTTGACATTAGCATAGAGCCGCCTAGTCATCCTTTTACCACAAGCTTGGAGATAAGGACAATATATTGGAATGAACATGTTCACATAAGTTAGTTTGGTCTTCCAACAACCTCAATTATTAGGATGATTTCCAAAGACAGAACTGAGTCATCACATATCATATTGGTCAATGGTTTTTTTTTTAAATTTTGAGTTATATAATAAATGATAACTTTCTTTCATTTATTAATTTATCATATTCATATATTATATAATTTAAATTTAAAATCTCTTATTTTCATTAAAAAAATTATCATAGATTTAATTAAGTTTTTGGCGACATGGTCATGTTTTTTATTCTTATAAGTAGACACTATAGGGGCTAGTGATCTTGTGTTGATGTTAAGGTTTGTACTTCGCGGGGGTGAGGAAACGAATGGGAAGGAAATGGGCTTCACAAAACTGCAAATAGACAAGCTTCGACTCGGTAAAAGCCCAAAGAAACAGAAATCAAAGTTAAGGAATGGGCTCAATTAAATGTTGGGTTCATTGAATTGTTTTGAATAAAACGCACATTTTAATGAACCGAGGTAGGCCCAATCTACCATTCGTCCAGTCCCTGGGCCTGTGATCAAAGTACGTAGCTTATGGTTTGGTAAGGTCGAAAGCCCAACCAAAACCCAAAATTGAAAGAGGAAAAGCCTTCGTTATCCATTCATCTTCCAATTTCCATGCATCTAATCTTTAAACGTGGCTTTCCTGACTGGAAGTGGATTTAGAAATTGGTAACAGTTGGATTCACAGTCACAGGTGAAGGTAGATGTGCAAGCTTGCAACAATAAATTTTTTCTACTTTCGATCAAACACAGCACAAATGAATTCAAATTACAAGATATAATACGCCAACAAAAATTTCACTTAGTATTTAGCTCGTGTAAATTTAAAAATCCCAAATTTGAAGGGTATGTTAGAAGTTTAAACTATAAATGATTTTTTTAACTCGTGCAGTACAAATTAAGTGTGTAATTAATATATATTTTTAATATTAAATTGTATGAAAAAAACAAAAAGTAACCTCCATTTTATCGTAAATACTATGTGAATTGCTTTAGTTAAAAAGTTAATTAAATGAAAATCAACATTCATTTTTTCAATGTTAATTAATATAAAAAAATAGTATTAGTTGACCCATAACCATGTACTTTAAGGTATAAATTTATAAAAAAAAAAAAAAAAACTCATCTTTAAAATATATATCAAACACTGAACCTTTCAAATATATTCTCCATATGTTATGATTTAGTTATTATATATTTTATTCATTCATTATTATTAGAAAACTCATTTATTACAATAATTTGAGGTTATTTTTCTATTTGCACCCCTATTCAAATTAAATCAAAAAATCTTAATGCATTTTTTATTTCATCATAAATAACTAATAAGGTAGAATTGAAATATCAGTATGAAAATAGTATTTACTTGGCTTGCCTCACTAAAATCAGGAGAAAAATCGCTCAAAAACTATATCATTTCAATAAACTCTCAATAAAAAAAAAAAAAAACTAGAATGCTTTATTTTTTAAACATAAATTGTATTGTTTTTGGTTTTTTTCTCATGATATTTTATTAAAACGATATAATTTTAAAATATTTTTTTTCATAATTTTTAAAAGGGAAGATAATAAGTATTCATCTCTATTAGTATTTAATATCATTTTAGAATGGAAAGTGACACAACTAATTTAGGCACCTCTATTTTATTTAGTAAGTAGAATAACTAATTTATACATCTTGAATTTATTAATAATATATTTAGGTTGAGGAGAATAGAAGGGGGGAAGAGGGCAAAGGAAAAAATTCACTATTTGGTTATCAAAAAAATTAAAAGGAAAGAGATAAGAAAATTTTCTTTTACTTTATTTTTACTTTTAATTTAATTACTTATACAAATAAAAAAATAAAAAAATTGAAGGGAATGGAAAGATATAATTTTTCTCCTTTCCCTTTCCTCTTCCCTCAATTCTCCTCAATTCAAATATAGGATAAATAAGACAAATCAAAGTAGAAGAGTATAAAATAAATATATGATAAATTACCTCTTCTAATAATAATGCAACATGGTATTTTAAGTATATTCCCGTGCAATAAATTACAGCCACTAATAATAATAATAATAAAGTAAAAATTAAGACAATTTAATACTTAATTATCAAAATTTCATGTCGAATTATTTAAATTTTTTTAATAAATTTTTTTATTCACATAAATTCATTAAAGGTCTTTTTGACGTTTGAAATATCAGGTTTTGTTTAATTTTAATAATAATAATAATAATAATGATGATGATGTTGTAATGTTATAATGTAGTCCGCTCCATGTAAAATGCACTTCCTTTTTCTGATTTAAAAAAAAAAGTTGATCGCACAAAAAATTTGAACAACCTCCCGACCTTGTGCACCGTATGAATCATCTGCCTTACTTTCCCTCAACCAATAAAATTGTACAAAGCCAGAAAAGAAAAGATTGGAATCCATAGCGCATGGAGTTATTACCTTATTTTATTTTATTTTATTTTGTTTTTGTCTCTGCCAATCTGAAAAAAAAAACATTATCTTTTACATCTCATACATGTACATTTCCCATTTTGTCTCGGGGAGAGAAACAGAGGGCGGTGAGGAAAATTGAGACTGCCGGAGAGATGCCGGAGTACTGCGTAACTGGGGGAACCGGATTCATCGCTGCTTACTTGGTGAAGTCTTTGCTTGAGAAAGGACACACGGTGCGGACCACCGCGCGAAATCCTGGTAGCTATATTTTTCCATTTGATGTATTGGCATGATTTACGTTAATAGTGATGATCCCTGTTTGCATTAAGCATAAGTATGTTTAAGTAGATTGACTTCTTTTTACTTGAACACAGAGGATGAGAGCAAAGTTGGGTATCTGAGGGAGTTTCCTGGAGCCAAGGAGAGGCTCAAGATTATGAAGGCTGATTTGATGGTGGAGGGAAGCTTTGATGAGGCCGTAGAAGGCGTCCATGGGGTTTTCCACACTGCATCGCCAGTGCTGGTTCCATATGATGACAACGTTAAGGTATCAATGTATCATCCATTTAATACCCAAATTATGTAAGTGTCACCATATAAGCATAAAATCTGTTTGTATCAGTCAAAGATTTCTCTTCAACTTGATAAAATTAATGCAAAGAAATTTAAGTCTATTAGTTTGGATTTTGGGGAAGAAAAAAAAAATAATAATAAAGGATTGCACCATGAACAAAGTCCTTAAGAGCAATTTTGGATTAAGCAGCTTGTGGAAGTCCTGCATAATTATAATTTTCAACCCAAACTATTGCATTCCGGACTGAAAATTCCCAATTTAATATATTATTTTGTGACTTTAAATTTTGAGTATGCTTCTTTGTAATTTGGACTATATATTGAATTGTAGAACAGGACCTTTGGATGACAAAAGGGCCCTAATATTAGGTTGCCCGCTCCTCATCCAAGGGTTTATATTTTGTTGTCCAGACCGCAAAATATCATTTCGTTAAATTTTACCATTTCTAACATGAATTTTTTGGATAACAAAACACTTTTTCTTTAAATTTTGCCCTTTCTAACAGGAATTTTTGGCTCAGAGTGATCCTTAAGTGAGGATTAAAATTGAGTAAACATTGAGAAAGTGCTGACTTTTAAGGGTGAATTTGGACCAACTGCTTAACAAGATAAATGCAAAACTACACCTGTTTCTATATGCTAAGACAATAACTGAAGTGCAAGAAATAACTACTGCAGAACTACAATTTCTCTTTAAATTCAAGATTGGTAGTTTACTAAATATGAAAGCATTCCTTTGAACTCTCTCTGCAGGCAACCCTGATTGATCCATGTATCAATGGCACCTTGAATGTTCTAAGATCCTGCTCAAAAGCTAGCAGTGTTAAAAGGGTTGTACTCACCTCTTCCTGCTCCTCCATTAGATACCGTTATGATGTCCAGCAAGTTTCTCCTCTCAATGAATCACACTGGAGTGATCCAGAGTATTGCAAACACTACAATGTAACAAGAATTCTCTCCACATTTCTAGTTGAATCATTTATTGGAAGTAATAATAGTTTTGATTGAATAATTCTTTCTTTTGTGTAGCTCTGGTATGCATATGCAAAGACTTTAGGAGAAAAGGAGGCTTGGAGGGTGGCAAAGGAAAATGGTATTGATATGGTAGTAGTAAATCCATCTTTTGTAGTTGGTCCATTGTTGGCGCCACAACCAACCAGCACACTGCTGTTGATACTGTCCATAGTGAAAGGTTAGATCAAAATAGTCAATTGTGCTACACCAGTACTCTTCATTCACTTGCCGTCTTGAAAGTGAAATTATTTTTTCTTTGTATTGCCTGGGAACATTATTAGGTCTGAAAGGTGAATATCCGAATACAACAGTGGGGTTTGTGCATATAGATGATGTGCTTGCTGCACACATTTTGGCTATGGAGGAAAGGAAGGTAGAGGGCAGGCTCATCTGCTCAAGCTTGGTGGCTCATTGGTCTGAGATCATTGAGATGCTCAGGGCAAAGTATCCATCCTATCCTCACGAAAGCAAGTGAGCAACATCAATGCAAAACCTTGAAGCAATTAAATTCGAAAGGAAATACAGAAGTTTAATCAGGCCTTATATGTCTTGATGTGGAATTATTGTAGGTGTAGCAGCCAAGAAGGAGACAACAACCCACACAGCATGGACACAAGTAAGATACATCAGCTGGGGTTCCCTGCATTCAAAGCACTTGACGAAATGTTTGACGATTGCATCAAGAGTTTCCAGGACAAGGGATTTCTGTGAAGAATTAGCCCAAGGTGATATCTTGAGCATTCTTCTCCCTATCCCTGCATTTTGCCATTTCCCCTATGTCCAATTAAAGAATTGAAAAACAGCAAAATAAGTTTGCCAATTAGGAATAAATTTATTATATTAAGCATCTTGATGCTTCTTGTTGCTCTATTTTCAAATACTTAGCTGGAACCAATCTTGCTGGCTGCTGCTAAATTCCTTGTGATTTATGACAGCCTTAATTAAGCTTTTAACCATCCTTTTAGCAAAGTCTATGCATCTATTACGCCTTCTTTTTCTTCAGATTTTATTGAGTATTAGCATCTAAAATTTGGCATTCAGCTCATATATTAGTGGAAATCAAAACCCGCAGGGCCCATGAGTAGCCTATAGGAGTCAACTAGCCGGGTACTTGTGGCCAACAAAAGATATAAATTAACCTTATATCTTTTAATTTAAATTTGTTTTCTTTCGTAGTAAATAATAAGTTATACAATTAAAATTAATTTTTTTATTTTTAACATCTATTTTAAAATTTTAAATTTTAAATTATTTAAAGACATTCTCGTAGAGGCTATGTAAGTATAGAGATCTTATACTGTATTAAAATTTTATAAGGATATAATAGAACCATAGAAGGAGGATATTTTCTATGGAAGGTTTGGTTCAATGGAAAGGTCTTTTATTTTCTAAGTGATATGACTGAAGCTATATTCTAAGCCTTAAAAATTATGGGTCACAATCATACGCCATATTTGACATTTCTAAAGTGATCTGTTTGATTTTTGCTTGCAACCTAATCAAACCAACACTTCTGTGAAAATAAAATAAATAATTGTTTGTCCAAAATAATAAACCTCGAAATAGTGACAAAATTTTATTTTTAAATAATAATAAAAAAAAAAAACTACTCAAAATTGTGGCCATCTTTTTTAACATTTGAGGATTTAGAATGGTTCAAAAGATTAGGTTTTAATTTTAAGGGACAAGAAAGAGAAAAGATTTTCTAGTCATACCATGTTTTTAGTAGAGTTGGTAAGAAATTAATGCGAATGTAGAGTGATTCATTTCTCTCCTCATCCTTCACAAACTTTAAATATCCAGAAATCCCTTTTGTTTCAATTTAAATAGGTTGAAATTAATGACACCAAAAAAATAGGTTGAAATTAAATATCAGTCATTAGGAAAGTGATATGTCTAAGGTTCAGAAAAGTAGTTTTTTAGGAAATAAGAAAACTTCGTTCCCCAATATAAATATACTACTTTAATATCTGCCGTCCTAATGAATAGAACAAATTTAACATCTGAGAATCTAAGTTGACTAAATCTCAGGGAGTGGTTATGATTATTTAATAAATTATCGGCTTATTTATTTTTTATTTTTCATTATAAATACTCAATTATAATATGTTAAAATATAAGTGTGTAAATTAATTTTAATTTATTAAGTAATAAATGTAATTTTTTATTATTTATCAATTAATAGTTATTTATTATTAATTATTTTAATTATCAAATTAAATAAAATTAATATTTTAAAAAATATATTTAAGTAATAATTCTAATAATTTATTAACTGACCATAGTCAGTCCTTGATGAATTGCGGAAACTAAATATGTCCCCACACTGTTTGTAATTTGTACAACTACTTAAAAGAATTGGCAAAATTTCCAAATTCATCTCCCATATAGGATTTGAGAATAGGAATAGATAACTTTTCAAAAAAAATATAAGGATGATTTATTTTTTCAAATTATTAATCAAAATAACTTATTTATTTAATATGTAATGACATCATAAATTACTTTTTATTAAAAAATACTTAAATGGTAAATAAAATTTTGATATATAATGACATTACATATTAAATAATAAATAATTCATCTTAATTAATAATTTAAAAATAATTTATTTTTATATTAAAAAAATAAATTTATTTCTCCCTTTTTACTTAAAAAGTGAATTTAAGATTTTGCCCAAAAAAAATTAATGTAATTGTACCCTTTTTAGAGACTAGACAATAAATAAATGCTCCGTACATATGAAAATTAGAAAAATAATAATCAGTGTGCCAAACAATATATATAATTCAACCAATAACTAAGAAGTCATCCCATTTTTGTGACGCATATCGCACATATACTGACCAGCAACTTGAGGCCAAATTGGCATAATTTTCAACATCTAGTACATTCATCTAAGGCATGGTTTGGATTCTCACAAATATGACCCATCCATCCAAAAAGAAGATGGTGAGGTTAGTATTTCCGGATCTAATAATAACAAAAGTTAATCCGCAAGTGGTTTCCCTTCAAACCCCCCCCCCCCC